TGCTGCTCTCCCCGTCACTGCCCCGTTCCCTGGGAAAGTGCAGCTCTTGTCACTGCAGTGGAAAGGCGGGGAAAAGGCCGGGAGGGAAAGGCAGCCCAGCTCGGGGGTGCCCCTGCCTTCCTTCAGCTGCTGGGAAACGTGGCCGGGGGCCCTCAGAGACACTCGAGCTGAGGAGCTGCACCATTGCCAGAAGGAGTGGGCAGCGACGGGGCGAGGGCAGCTCCTGCAATGCCCAGCGGGAGGAATGAGCTGCGGTGAGCGCGGCCTCGGCTCCGCTGTCCTTATTTCACGGTCTTTGCTGCCATCTCGCGTCCTTTTGCTACGATTGCAGTCCCTGACAGCCTGGACGCGCTCGGGCTTTGTTGTCGCCGGGCAGGCCGCAGAATTTGCAGTGTTGAACCTGTCTCGTCTCGGATGGCTTGTTTCTCAGCCTTGAACGCTGGCTGCTGAGTGGTTCCCTGTCACTTGGAAGCTACGCGTTCTGTCCGTTTGTAAAAGTCACGTTCTTTCCCCACTGCCCCTTCCTTACAAAAGCTACAGCCCTTGTCTAAAGCTTAGCAAAGTCTCAGCAAGGTGAGCCAAAAGGCCAGGTTAGACTCGCCGCTTGGTGTAGCAGAAGCACAGACGTAACTGCGGCCTGAAACAATTCTCTCAGCTGCTTTCTGCAGCACACAACCTTTCACAGCCCCCTTTCAGTCTCTGCCCCCCAAATGCTCCTGCAGTCCCTGAGACTGTTGGTTCCACGGTCTGCAGAGAAGCTCCTTTGGCCAGCAGGTAACACGGTTTGGGATCTTGGGGTCTTCTCTGGACCAGCGGGTTCACAGCTGAGCTGCAGTGTCTGTCATTGTGCCCGGTGATGTATCGGCCAAGCTCGGGAGTCAAATCACACAGGGACACCAGCTGTGGGTGCTGAGGCTGATCTAACTTTATTTTACAAAATGGAGGGGGTTTTATATGCAGATAAGGAAGGTTCTGGAAAAAGGGGATAGGTATATATGAACTTGGACAGGGCATTGGATAGGATTTAAGATTGATAATAGAGGGGATACATGCATCTTCAGGCAACTACTAGGTTCTTAATTGGGAAAACTAACTGCCTCTGACTGGACATTGGCCAGTCAGAGAAACCTACTCTCCCCAGCAAGAGAGAGCTCACAATCCAACAAACAGTCTGTATGTCTGATGCTGTCCGGCCTATATTGCCAGAAGCCATTTCTTTCCACCCTCCAAACTCCTCTTCCTCGTCCAGATTACTCCCAACAAGCAGGCAGTCCCAGAAGGCCCAGCCACGCGTGGCAGAGATTCCCAGAGCTGCCACGTGCCCCGGCTGTCCCTGAGCCTGCTCTGGGCTCGGCACTGAAACGCTGCCGGGGCCTGTCCCTGCTGTGCAGGTCCCTGGGGCTGCGGGACACGCTGTCACACACCACACACGGCCACTGGGCCCTGCCAGCTCCTGCAGCCTGTGCTTCCCGAGTGCCAGGCGTTTTGGGGGCCGCCTGTCTCTGGGGATGGGCAGGGAAACAGATTTCCTGGGACTGGGAGCAACACACGGCCTCGGCAAGGCAAGCAGATGGCCCGGCTTGGGGTCGCCGTGTGCAATTCCACCTCCAGGTTTGCTGGACGCAGCAGCAGGTTCTTGTCAGCAGGTTCCCAGTATCCCTGAGCCCCATATCCATCAGCCCAAACGCTGCCCAGCTGCAGCTGTCAGCAGGAGGGTGGATTTCAGCCGCGAGGTGCCCCGTGGCGAGCGGGCAGGAGGCTGCGGTGTCAGCCGGCACGGCCCTCGGGACCCTCCCTGGGCCCGTGGCAGGAAGGGGCAGGTCCTGCTAACGTGGCCCTGCTCCCCCTTGGGCTGCGGGGCTGGGCCGGGGACAAACATCCAGCTCTCTCAGCACGGGCAATAGCGGAAGGAGGCCCCGTGGGCCCGCTGGAATTAGAGCAGGTGCCCCCTCCGGGACTGACTGGCGGCCCCTCAGTCCCGGGGCTGAGTTTCCTCTCTCTGGGAAGGGCCGGGATTGTGATGGGTCTCTCCTCTTGCTGATTCCTCTGCAGGCTCCGGAGGGGCACCCAGCCCCTGGCACGGGCCACGCTGGGCTCGTTTCTGCTGCGCTGCGTGGGAAGCTGTGCCTGTCAGAGCCACGGGGACCTGCCTGGAGCCGTGCAGGGGACAGGGACGATCCCTGATGGAGGTAAAGGAGCCCCTTTTGCCTGTGGCTCTGAGCTTCCATCTCAGCTGCTGCAGTGCCCCGTGGGCAGCTGGGCCGGGCTGGAGGGGCACACGTGGTGTGCAGAGCCCCGGCTTTGTCCCATCCTGGTGCAGGCGGCCCCGGTGGGACCTCTCAGCCCGGTGACACGGGCCCTGCCGGGATAAACCCGGCTCCTTGCGGGACCAGGCAGTGCCAGCCCAGCCCCCAGACTGCCCAGTCGCTCCCCATTTCCCAGCTGGGCGCCCTCCCCTCCTTCTCTCCGGGCGGGAACAGATCGCTCCCCTGAGTTTTGCTGCCATTCTTTTCACGGAGAGACTTGGATCCTTCAGGAGGAAGGGGTTTCCCAGCTCGGAACTGTTGCCTGCCAGGGCCTCGCTTCCCACGTCTCCCGCGTGCCAGGGGTCCTGCCTTCCCCTCTCTCCTGGTGCCCCTTGCAGGTGGCCCTGCCACGCTGCCCTGACACAGGGACGCAGTCAGACTGGGGACACTGATGAGGGCTGGGGACACTGCTGAGGGCTGGGGACACTGCTGAGGGCTGGGATCACTGATGTGTTTGGGGACACTGATGTGCTTGGGGACACTGATGTGCATGGGGTCACTGATGAGAGCTGGGATCACTGCTGAGGGCTGGGATCACTGATGTGTTTGGGGACACTGATGTGCTTGGGGACACTGATGAGGGCAGGGATCACTGATGTGCTTGGGGACACTGCTGAGGGCTGGGATCACTGATGTGCTTGGGGACACTGCTGAGGGCTGGGATCACTGATGTGCCTGGGGACACTGCTGAGAGCAGGGATCACTGATGTGCCTGGAGCGCAGGGAAGGGGTAACGCTCCAGCTATTACTTTGTTGTGCGCCGGCCAATGAGATTTGTTTTCCCCTGCAGCCCGTGTTTACTTTGGTGTGGGTGGGCCGGGCTGTGTTTCTGTGTCAGTGCCAGCTCCAGCACAGCTGTGGCTGCTGCAGTGCCGGGGCGGGGCCGGTGAGGAGGTGCCGGTGCCGGTAACGAGCAGCAGGTGCGGGGCGGGCGGGGCCCGGAACGAGCAGCAGGTGCCGGGCAGGGCCGGGGCGGGGCCGGGGCGGGGCCGGGGCCAGAAAAGCCTCGGCCGCGGCGGGGCCGCTCCTTTCTCAGGTCTGGGCTTCTTTGTGGGGTCTCCGCTCCACGCGGGGGCAGCGGCGGCGGAGCCCGGAGCAGGTGAGGGGCCGCGGGGCCGGGAGCCCTGCCGGGCTTGGGGCCGGAGCCTCCGGGGCGCACAGAGGCGGCCCCGGGCCGAGGCTGTGCCGGGACGGGTCGGGCAGCGGCGGCGGCGGGGCCGAGTGCCGGGAGCCGCTCGGGCTGGGCAGGGACGGGCAGCGGCTGCCGCGGCCGCCGGGGCTTGCCCCGGGCGGGGTCTGGGGGCTCCGAGGGGCTTTCTCTCGGGGGAGCGGGCGGGAGGTTCCCGTGGGGGGTTCGGGGCTCGCTGCGGCCGGAGGGCTTCGGGGGCGGCGGGGCACGTTGGGCTGGACACGGGCGTGGTGCTCCGTGCCCGGCCGGGCTGTTCCCGGGCAGGGCTCCCCTGGGGGGGCTGCGGCTCTTTGTGTGTGTGCAGGTGCAATAAACGTGAATAAAGTGCTCCCCCCCGTCTGCCGGCGCGGCCCCACAGAGACACGGGACGGGCCCCTCCTGCACGGAGGGCCCTCCAGCACAGTTCCCAAGCACTTCCCACCGACTGGACCCGGGCCCTGGGTGGGGGGTGGGCAGCGCTCCCTCCCAGCCCCCCAGCATCACATCACATCACACGCGGGGTCCCGGGCAGGGGTGCAGTGCGGGGTTGAACTCCAAGTGCTGAGTTTTGGGTGCTTGGAAACGTTGTGAACTGGGGTGGGTTTGGAGCCCAGAAAGGGACTCAGTGCTGCATTTTCCACGGTTGAAAATGGAGACCAAGTCCTGTGTTTTGGGGTCTAAAAGTGGAAGCTAAGTCTTGTGTTTTCATGTTTTGAGAACAGAGACTGAGGGTTGCACTTTTGGGCCTTGAAAACAAGCTCTGGGAGGGATTTGGGGTCCCACCAGCACAGCCCTATGTTTGTGAAACTGCAAAAATGACTAAGTCCCACCTATATGGCCTTGGAAATGCAGGTTAAGTCCTGCAGTTCCTGCCTTTGAAATTTTGGTTAAGTCCCACAGTTTCCCCTTGAGCTCCAAAAATGACTAAGTCCCACTTATTCAGCCTTGGAAATGCAGGTTAAGTCCTGCAGTTCCTGCCTTTGAAATTTTGGTTAAGTCCCACAGTTTCCCCTTGGAAATGCAGGTTAAGTCCTGCAGTTTCCCAGCTCTGAGAAAGAAACCCAACTAAGTGCTGTGCTTCTGGGGCTCCAAAGCAGAGGGTGGGCAAGGCTTTTCTGAAGCTCAGAAAAAAACTAAGTCCATCACTTTTCCAACTTGGAAATTTGAGGATTTAGCCTCAGGGTTGCCTTTCTGGGCCTCAGAAAAGTCCCTCAGGGCCTTGTTTTGGAGGCTGGAAGCAGCGGCTCAGCCGGCTGTTTCCAGCCCCCCAAAACAGAGGCCGGGGCTGGGCTGACTTTGGTGGGAGGGCTGGGTGGCATAAGGACCCCCTCCGGAGGAGGGGGTTCCGGGAGGGGGGAGGGCTGGGCATGAGGACCCCCTCCCAGGGAGGGGGTCCGGGGTTGCGTGGACCCCCTCCGGAGGGGGGGGTCCGGTCGCGTTGTTCCCCAAACTCCGGGACGCCGGCATGCACCAGGCCGATTTAAGCGTTCGAGATAGTCTCTGGAGCGAAAGGCACTTTCCAGCCCTTTTTCCAGTCCAACTCTTTATTTGTACAAACACCGGAATAGCTACAATATTGAGACAATTATGACAGCTCATATTCATATACACTCGATGACAGTGAGTGATTTACAACTTGGCCAGAAGCCCAAATCGCTCCAAGCACCTGGAGCTTTAACTGGCTTGCAACAAGAAGCAACATTTAATAAGCCAGAGCTGGAATCCACTGGAGCATCTCGGAGCCAGAGCTGGAATCCACTGGAGCATCTCAGAGCCAGAGCTGGAATCCACTGGAGCATCTTGGAGCCAGAGCTGGAACCAACTGGAGCATCTCGGAGCCAGAGCTCGAACAAATGGGAGCAGCCATCAACTGGAGCACCTAGGACCTAGAGCTGGAATGAACTGGAGCGTCTCGGAGGCAGAGCTGGAACAAACTGGAGCATCTCAGAGCCATAGCTGGAACCAACTGGAGCAGCCTGGAAGCACCTGGAGCACTGCACAGCCACAGCTGGAGCCTGAAGAAGCTGACTGGGGCATCACCTGAAAGTGAAACAACAGAAGGAATTGCAATCACCTGAGTCTCCAAGCATCCCGAGCAGTAGGACAGGGGAGGGTCCAGCAGCAGGAGCTGTACGAAGCAGGAACACTCTTGTCCAGATTGGCCGGTGGCTGGAACAGCTGCGTGGCTGGAGCGTCCGTGAGCTGGAGCTGGAACAGGCCTGTGTGAGGGAGAGCTGAGCTTACCTGCAGCTGCAGCAGGAAGGAGGGACTGCTGGCAGGGAGATCTGGTGGCTGGAGCTGCGATTGCTGCGCTCTGGACTCCCGGCAGGCGCAGGCAGGGCTGTCCCTGTTCAGGAGCTGGGAGCAGCAGGGAGCACAGCCTCTTCCCTCAGGGATTCAGGTCACAGCACGTGCCCCTCTCTGCGTGGAGGTCTCTCCCGGAGCCGTTCCAAGAGCAGGCGGCAGGAGGGGCCCCCCAGATCTCCCGGGGCAGGTGGGAGCAGCGGCATCTCCTGTGCATCTGCGGAAAGGGAGGCAACGGTCAGTCAGAGCTGCCGGGGCTGGCACAGCCCCAGAACCCACAGGACGTGCCCGTCCCCCCGGCAGGACTGGGGGAGCCCCAGGCTGTGCTGTGTCCCCTGAGAAACGTGTCTGAGCAAGCCCTGGAGCTAAACACGAGCTGAGCCTCAACCAGCCACAGCAAACACACACAGCTGGGCCGGGCCAGCACCAAACAGCAAATGCAGCTGCAGCAAAGCCACGAGGGGTCCAATCCTGCCACAGCCCCCCAGCACAGACCCCCCAGCCCGTGTCAAAGCACTCACCCGACATTCCCTCCCGTGTCACCTCTCCCGGGGCTCTGCTGTGTCCTGGCCGGGCTCGTCCTCTCCCGCTGCTGTGCTGAGCCGGGCTGGCCCGGGCAGGGCTGCCGGGAACGAGGCACGGCGAGTTTGGAGACTGCAACAACCGGGAAACCTTTCCGCTGGCTGACCCGCAGGTGGCTGCGGTTGCCCCGTGCTCGGGGGGAGCCCCATCCTCGGGGGGCTCTGGCCGGCAGCCCCCGGGCAGTTCCCGCGGAGCTCAACCTGTGCAAAGACGGTGGGAAAACACTCGCGTCCGCGACACCGAGGGCCGGGCGCGTTCCCCGCCGCGCCGCGCGTCCCTCCGGGAGAGGCCCCGGCCCGGGGGCAGCCGAGCTCCCGGCACGGCCCAGGGGCGGCCGCTCCAGCCCCCCCGGACGGGACCGCGGCCGCAGCCGGGACGGCCCGAGCCGAGCTCCGCGCCCTCCGTCCCGCGGGGGCCCGAAGGTCTCGCCGCACACGCGGCCCTGCCGGGCACCGACACCCGGGCTCGCGGCACCCGCAGCCGGCAGCTCGGCCCCTCTCCGCACAGCCCCGGCACTCACCTGCTCCTCCCGGACCCGGCACACCAAAGCTCCCGCCGGGGCCCCACTGGCGCTCGGGAAAAGGGCCGCGGGGCGGGGCCGGGCCGGGGCGGGCCCTGCGCGGCACCTGCGGCCGCGGGGCGGGGCTGCGGGAACGGCCGCGCTCAGTGGCGCCGTCTGGCGAAACAGGACAGGAACTGCAGGCGGCACTCGGGGCGCGCTGTGCGGCACCTGTGGGAACGAGCGCGCTCAGTGGCGCCGTCTGGCGAAACCGAACAGGAACTGCAGAAAGAGCTTTCGATACGCGCTGCACCTGTATTTCCTGGTTCTCTTCACCAGGGGGAGCCTTCACTTGGGTCACCAAGGGTCAGAGAAATGTTATCATGTACATCATGTCTATCTTCTGGTCTTGGTTGCGTCACAGGGATCAACAGGGGGCACCTGAGTCCACCTGCAGTCAACTGGGACCCCCTAGAGCTGCTGTGGGGTCAGGACATACATCACATCTGGCTTCTTGTCTGGGGGAGACACAAGGGGGTTCATGGGGTCACCTGGGGGCATCATGGTGTACCCACATGACCCCAGGTGATGGTTAAGACCCCAGGAGAGCACAGTGGCCCCAGGTATTAGTATTAATCTCAGGTAATCACGGTGACTCTGTGAAGTGTCTATGCCAGCCCAAGGTGATTTGAAGACCCCAGATTTGATGCTGCTGTCAGCCTCAGGGTGTAGAATGTCCACCAGGGCGTTGCTCTTACAGTGCTCAGCCACCAACAGAATGGCTTTGAGCAGCTCTGGGTCAGTGATGGTGCTCAGAATCCACACCTAGTAGTTGAAACCAACCTGGAAATAGGGGCCTAAGGGTCACCTGGGCACAGGTGAGGTGTCCATGGCCATGTTCCCACCACACCTGGTCACTCCTGCCTACTTCCAAATGTGAGTGGCCATCGCAGTGTCCCCAGCCGCTCCATCCTCACAGCCCTACTACCCCAAGGTGTGTATCAGGTGCCCCCAGGTCTGGCCCCAGGTATCCCCTTGATGCCTAAAGATTTTTAGCTTTTTATAGATTTTAATAAAGCTGTATAAGTTTCTTACACTTGAAAATAGAGGTTGACAGCTGCTAGAACCCTTTCTCACTGTTTGTGTCACATTCCTGAACTTCTGTTTAATGGTCTTTTCAAAGAAAGAGATCTTCGGAAGGTTATCCTGTTTGGCATACCTAGATTGGAATAATAAGCTATACTGTAGTCAAACCAACCTTGAAAGTCCAGGAACCTTGGGGAAGCTCCAAAGACAGCGGGTGCTCTGAGTAGGAGGAACATGACAAAGAAAAGGGTCTTGAGGCCTCCAACTGCGGAATCGGACTGGGATGCCCACGGGGCACTGCAGCAGCTGAGATGGAAGCTCAGAGCCACAGGCAAAAGGGGCTCCTTTACCTCCATCAGGGATCGTCCCTGTCCCCTGCACGGCTCCAGGCAGGTCCCCGTGGCTCCGACAGGCACAGCTTCCCACGCAGCGCAGCAGAAACGAGCCCAGCGTGGCCCCTGCCAGGGGCTGGGTGCCCCTCCGGAGCCTGCAGAGGAATCAGCAAGAGGAGAGACCCATCACAATCCCGGCCCTTCCCAGAGAGAGGAAACTCAGCCCCGGGACTGAGGGGCCGCCAGTCAGTCCCGGAGGGGGCACCTGCTCTAATTCCAGCGGGGCCCACGGGGCCTCCTTCCGCTATTGCCCGTGCTGAGAGAGCTGGATGTTTGTCCCCGGCCCAGCCCCGCAGCCCAAGGGGGAGCAGGGCCACGTTAGCAGGACCTGCCCCTTCCCTGCCACGGGCCCAGGGAGGGTCCCGAGGGCCGTGCCGGCTGACACCGCAGCCTCCTGCCCGCCGCCACGGGGCACCTCGCGGCTGAAATCCACCCTCCTGCTGACAGCTGCAGCTGGGCAGCGTTTGGGCTGATGGATATGGGGCTCAGGGATACTGGGAACCTGCTGACAAGAACCTGCTGCTGCGTCAGCAAACCTGGAGGTGGAATTGCACACGGCGACCCCAAGCCGGGCCATCTGCTTGCCTTGCCGAGGCCGTGTGTTGCTCCCAGTCCCAGGAAATCTGTTTCCTGCCCATCCCCAGAGACAGGCGGCCCCCAAAACGCCTGGCACTCGGGAAGCACAGGCTGCAGGAGCTGGCAGGGCCCAGTGGCCGTGTGTGGTGTGTGACAGCGTGTCCCGCAGCCCCAGGGACCTGCACAGCAGGGACAGGCCCCGGCAGCGTTTCAGTGCCCAGCCCAGAGCAGGCTCAGGGACAGCCGGGGCACGTGGCAGCTCTGGGAATCTCTGCCACGCGTGGCTGGGCCTTCTGGGACTGCCTGCTTGTTGGGAGTAATCTGGACGAGGAAGAGGAGTTTGGAGGGTGGAAAGAAATGGCTTCTGGCAATATAGGCCGGACAGCATCAGACATACAGACTGTTTGTTGGATTGTGAGCCTCTCTCTTGCTGGGGAGAGTAGGTTTCTCTGACTGGCCAATGTCCAGTCAGAGGCAGTTAGTTTTCCCAATTAAGAACCTAGTAGTTGCCTGAAGATGCATGTATCCCTCTATTATCAATCTTAAATCCTATCCAATGCCCTGTCCAAGTTCATATATACCTATCCCCTTTTTCCAGAACCTTCCTTATCTGCATATAAACCCCTCCATTTTGTAAAATAAAGTTAGATCAGCCTCAGCACCCACAGCTGGTGTCCCTGTGTGATTTGACTCCCGAGCTCGGCCGATACATCACCGGGCACAATGACAGACACTGCAGCTCAGCTGTGAACCCGCTGGTCCAGAGAAGACCCCAAGATCCCAAACCGTGTTACCTGCTGGCCAAAGGAGCTTCTCTGCAGACCGTGGAACCAACAGTCTCAGGGACTGCAGGAGCATTTGGGGGCAGAGACTGAAAGGGGGCTGTGAAAGGTTGTGTGCTGCAGAAAGCAGCTGAGAGAATTGTTTCAGGCCGCAGTTACGTCTGTGCTTCTGCTACACCAAGCGGCGAGTCTAACCTGGCCTTTTGGCTCACCTTGCTGAGACTTTGCTAAGCTTTAGACAAGGGCTGTAGCTTTTGTAAGGAAGGGGCAGTGGGGAAAGAACGTGACTTTTACAAACGGACAGAACGCGTAGCTTCCAAGTGACAGGGAACCACTCAGCAGCCAGCGTTCAAGGCTGAGAAACAAGCCATCCGAGACGAGACAGGTTCAACACTGCAAATTCTGCGGCCTGCCCGGCGACAACAAAGCCCGAGCGCGTCCAGGCTGTCAGGGACTGCAATCGTAGCAAAAGGACGCGAGATGGCAGCAAAGACCGTGAAATAAGGACAGCGGAGCCGAGGCCGCGCTCACCGCAGCTCATTCCTCCCGCTGGGCATTGCAGGAGCTGCCCTCGCCCCGTCGCTGCCCACTCCTTCTGGCAATGGTGCAGCTCCTCAGCTCGAGTGTCTCTGAGGGCCCCCGGCCACGTTTCCCAGCAGCTGAAGGAAGGCAGGGGCACCCCGAGCTGGGCTGCCTTTCCTCCCGGCCTTTTCCCCGCCTTTCCACTGCAGTGACAAGAGCTGCACTTTCCCAGGGAACGGGGCAGTGACAGGGAGAGCAGCAGGCAGGAGCCCCCTTCTTCTCTGCAGCCCAGGGACTACTTGTGTGGGAATGGGCAGTGACTCGGGTACCAGCTCCACCTCCGACCTCTTGCCACACATCCGTCTGAGGCCTCGTCAGGTCAATACCTGCTCTTTCCAGAGCACCCCAGTTGTGTTCAGTGTCCTCACGGTAGCCCAGGAATCCCTCCCTGTGTTACATCAGCCTCCCTGTCCCCTTTCTTCTAATGAAGAATTAGCATTAGTGTCACACTTGTTAATGACATATACAAATTATCCTGGCAGTCTCTATGGTACAAGCACAGTTTGGCTGAGTTGCTATCCTGTAAAATGTGGGAGGGAACAGTGTCACCATCTCTGCAGTGCAGTGCTGGCCTACATTCCCAGGAGGACTTGAGGGAGAGACAGAATGTTTAAAACATGAAACCTTGGCTGGCATCGCAGTGGTTATTTCTAAGTACGCGTTTCTATCTGATACATTTGTTGGGGTGATTACTCTGGAGAGTGTTTTTTACCTCAGGCACTAAGTCTGTGGATCAGCTTCCTCGTGAGCAGGTACCAGCACGTTCCCCAAAGGAATGCTCTGTCAAACACAGCAGGGAGGTGAGCAGGAGTGTGGCGCTTGTGCACAGCTGAACTGAAGCACCCTTGGATTTGGACTGCTCTGGGGGATCTTATCTGAGATGGGTATTTCTGCAAAGCTTCTTGTGATGCTGAATTTAGAGGTGAGCTGATAAAGGCAGTAACACAGTACTGCCATCACTGAGCTTCTGAGGATTTCAAACTCCTTCCTATCAAGTCCTAAATCTCTACCGTTGCTTATGAAAGGGGTGACACCCCATCAGTCACTCTGAGGGAGTCTTTAGTCAGGTGCTGACTGAAATAATGGCTCCAGAGAATGGGTTTTCCATCGCCAAGTGCTCCTGAATTCAGGGTTCAAATGTGGCACAGAAAGGAGTCAGTCTCTTCTCCACCTTCGCTGAGAACAGACAGGGTGCCCGGTCTCTAATCCCGCAGCCAAGGTTGTTTTCCTCCTTGTGTCAAAGCCAGCCTGGCTCGTGGCACAGTTCTAACACAGCAGTGCCAGTACGGGGCATTCCAAACCAGACACTGCCCAACCTCTGGCTGGGCCACTGGATTTGTGCTGGGCTCCCCCACATCTCGGGAACACACTGCTCCAATCACACCCCCTGTCCAACAGATGCCTGCGATTACAAAACTTCCACTGCATAAACCCCTTCCCCTCTGAAGGACTCAGTGCTATCACTGTCACAATCACCCAAAAAATAAACAGCTTATCCAAATTCCCCAGTCATTTCTCTATGGAACAGGCCCAGCGTCACAGCAGTCCCTGTGCCTTTCCACGGAAGGGAGCCTGGTTTGGACGCTCCCGCTACACCTGCACTAGGAAGCACTGGTGTGTCACGGCTGCTCTCCGGGGTTTTTCCGCACTGTCAGACTCTCCGTGTGGTTCGGTTCCCAGTCAGAGCCGCTCCCCACAGCGCTGTCTCCGGACGGGCCTGGGACCCCGGCCCGCAGCGCCCCTCTGCGCCGCCGCTCCGCCTGGCGCCGCCTGGCGGACACGGCCGGTACTGCAGGGCAGCATTCCATGGCACGCCGTGACACACCAGTGCTTCCTAGTGCAGGTGTAGCGGGAGCGTCCAAACCAGGCTCCCTTCCGTGGAAAGGCACAGGGACTGCTGTGACGCTGGGCCTGTTCCATAGAGAAATGACTGGGAAATTTGGATAAGCTGTTTATTTTTTGGGTGATTGTGACAGTGATAGCACTGAGTCCTTCAGAGGGGAAGGGGTTTATGCAGTGGAAGTTTTGTAATCGCAGGCATCTGTTGGACAGGGGGTGTGATTGGAGCAGTGTGTTCCCGAGATGTGGGGGAGCCCAGCACAAATCCAGTGGCCCAGCCAGAGGTTGGGCAGTGTCTGGTCTGAAATGCCCCGTGCTGGCACTGCTGTGTTAGAACTGTGCCACGAGCCAGGCTGGCTTTGACACAAGGAGGAAAACAACCTAGGCTGCGGGATTAGAGACCAGGCACCCTGTCTGTTCTCAGAGAAGGTGGAGAAGAGACTGACTCCATTCTGTGCCACATTTGAACCCTGAATTCAGGAGCACTTGGCGATGGAAAACCGTGCTCTGGAGCCATTATTTCAGTCAGCACCTGACTAAAGGCTCCCTCAAAGGGGTCGATGTGGTGTCATCCCTTTCGTAAGCAGTGGCACAGATTTTAGGACTTAATACTAAGGGGTTTGAAGCCTTCAGAAGTTCAGTGATGACAGAACTGTGTTACTGCCTTTATCAGCTCAACTATTCAATGCCACAAGAACCTGTGCAGAAATACCCACCTCAGCAAAGATCTCCCAGAGCAGTCCGAATCCAAGCACGCTTCAGTTCAGCTGTGCATAAGCACCACACTCCTGCTCACCTCCCTGCTGTGTTTGACAGAGCATTCCTTTGGGGAACGTGCTGGTACCTGCTCACGAGGAAGCTGATCCACAGACTTAGTGCCTGAGGTAAAAAACACTCTCCAGAGTAATCACCCCAACAAATGTATCAGATAGAAACGCGTACTTAGAAATAACCACTGCGATGCCAGCCAAGGTTTCATGTTTTAAACATTCTGTCTCTCCCTCAAGTCCTCCTGGGAATGTAGGCCAGCACTGCACTGCAGAGATGGTGACACTGTTCCCTCCCACATTTTACAGGATAGCAACTCAGCCAAACTGAGCTTGTACCATAGAGACTGCCAGGATAATTTGTATATGTCATTAACAAGTGTGACACTAATGCTAATTCTTCATTAGAAGAAAGGGGACAGGGAGGCTGATGTAACACAGGGAGGGATTCCTGGGCTACCGTGAGGACACTGAACACGACTGGGGTGCTCTGGAAAGAGCAGGTATTGACCTGACGAGGCCTCAGACGGATGTGTGGCAAGAGGTCGGAGGTGGAGCTGGTACCCGAGTCACTGCCCATTCCCACACAAGTAGTCCCTGGGCTGCAGAGAAGAAGGGGGCTCCTGCCTGCTGCTCTCCCTGTCACTGCCCCGTTCCCTGGGAAAGTGCAGCTCTTGTCACTGCAGTGGAAAGGCGGGGAAAAGGCCGGGAGGAAAGGCAGCCCAGCTCGGGGTGCCCCTGCCTTCCTTCAGCTGCTGGGAAACGTGGCCGGGGGCCCTCAGAGACACTCGAGCTGAGGAGCTGCACCATTGCCAGAAGGAGTGGGCAGCGACGGGGCGAGGGCAGCTCCTGCAATGCCCAGCGGGAGGAATGAGCTGCGGTGAGCGCGGCCTCGGCTCCGCTGTCCTTATTTCACGGTCTTTGCTGCCATCTCGCGTCCTTTTGCTACGATTGCAGTCCCTGACAGCCTGGACGCGCTCGGGCTTTGTTGTCGCCGGGCAGGCCGCAGAATTTGCAGTGTTGAACCTGTCTCGTCTCGGATGGCTTGTTTCTCAGCCTTGAACGCTGGCTGCTGAGTGGTTCCCTGTCACTTGGAAGCTACGCGTTCTGTCCGTTTGTAAAAGTCACGTTCTTTCCCCACTGCCCCTTCCTTACAAAAGCTACAGCCCTTGTCTAAAGCTTAGCAAAGTCTCAGCAAGGTGAGCCAAAAGGCCAGGTTAGACTCGCCGCTTGGTGTAGCAGAAGCACAGACGTAACTGCGGCCTGAAACAATTCTCTCAGCTGCTTTCTGCAGCACACAACCTTTCACAGCCCCCTTTCAGTCTCTGCCCCCAAATGCTCCTGCAGTCCCTGAGACTGTTGGTTCCACGGTCTGCAGAGAAGCTCCTTTGGCCAGCAGGTAACACGGTTTGGGATCTTGGGGTCTTCTCTGGACCAGCGGGTTCACAGCTGAGCTGCAGTGTCTGTCATTGTGCCCGGTGATGTATCGGCCGAGCTCGGGAGTCAAATCACACAGGGACACCAGCTGTGGGTGCTGAGGCTGATCTAACTTTATTTTACAAAATGGAGGGGTTTATATGCAGATAAGGAAGGTTCTGGAAAAAGGGGATAGGTATATATGAACTTGGACAGGGCATTGGATAGGATTTAAGATTGATAATAGAGGGGATACATGCATCTTCAGGCAACTACTAGGTTCTTAATTGGGAAAACTAACTGCCTCTGACTGGACATTGGCCAGTCAGAGAAACCTACTCTCCCCAGCAAGAGAGAGCTCACAATCCAACAAACAGTCTGTATGTCTGATGCTGTCCGGCCTATATTGCCAGAAGCCATTTCTTTCCACCCTCCAAACTCCTCTTCCTCGTCCAGATTACTCCCAACAAGCAGGCAGTCCCAGAAGGCCCAGCCACGCGTGGCAGAGATTCCCAGAGCTGCCACGTGCCCCGGCTGTCCCTGAGCCTGCTCTGGGCTCGGCACTGAAACGCTGCCGGGGCCTGTCCCTGCTGTGCAGGTCCCTGGGGCTGCGGGACACGCTGTCACACACCACACACGGCCACTGGGCCCTGCCAGCTCCTGCAGCCTGTGCTTCCCGAGTGCCAGGCGTTTTGGGGGCCGCCTGTCTCTGGGGATGGGCAGGAAACAGATTTCCTGGGACTGGGAGCAACACACGGCCTCGGCAAGGCAAGCAGATGGCCCGGCTTGGGGTCGCCGTGTGCAATTCCACCTCCAGGTTTGCTGACGCAGCAGCAGGTTCTTGTCAGCAGGTTCCCAGTATCCCTGAGCCCCATATCCATCAGCCCAAACGCTGCCCAGCTGCAGCTGTCAGCAGGAGGGTGGATTTCAGCCGCGAGGTGCCCCGTGGCGAGCGGGCAGGAGGCTGCGGTGTCAGCCGGCACGGCCCTCGGGACCCTCCCTGGGCCCGTGGCAGGAAGGGGCAGGTCCTGCTAACGTGGCCCTGCTCCCCCTTGGGCTGCGGGGCTGGGCCGGGGACAAACATCCAGCTCTCTCAGCACGGGCAATAGCGGAAGGAGGCCCCGTGGGCCCGCTGGAATTAGAGCAGGTGCCCCCTCCGGGACTGACTGGCGGCCCCTCAGTCCCGGGGCTGAGTTTCCTCTCTCTGGGAAGGGCCGGGATTGTGATGGGTCTCTCCTCTTGCTGATTCCTCTGCAGGCTCCGGAGGGGCACCCAGCCCCTGGCAGGGGCCACGCTGGGCTCGTTTCTGCTGCGCTGCGTGGGAAGCTGTGCCTGTCAGAGCCACGGGGACCTGCCTGGAGCCGTGCAGGGGACAGGGACGATCCCTGATGGAGGTAAAGGAGCCCCTTTTGCCTGTGGCTCTGAGCTTCCATCTCAGCTGCTGCAGTGCCCGTGGGTCATCCCAGTCCGATTCCGCAGTTGGAGGCCTCAAGACCCTTTTCTTTGTCATGTTCCTCCTACTCAGAGCACCCGCTGTCTTTGGAGCTTCCCCAAGGTTCCTGGACTTTCAAGGTTGGTTTGACTACAGTATAGCTTATTATTCCAATCTAGGTATGCCAAACAGGATAACCTTCCGAAGATCTCTTTCTTTGAAAAAGACCATTAAACAGAAGTTCAGGAATGTGACACAAACAGTGAGAAAAGGGTTCTAGCAGCTGTCAACCTCTATTTTCAAGTGTAAGAAACTTATACAGCTTTATTAAAATCTATAAAAAGCTAAAAATCTTTAGGCATCAAGGGGATACCTGGGGCCAGACCTGGGGGCACCTGATACACACCTTGAGGGTGAGTAGGGCTGTGAGGATGGAGCGGCTGGGGGACACTGCGATGGCCACTCACATTTGGAAGTAGGCAGGAGTGACCAGGTGTGGTGGGAACATGGCCATGGACACCTCACCTGTGCCCAGGTGACCCTTAGGCCCCTATTTCCAGGTTGGTTTCAACTACTAGGTGTGGATTCTGAGCACCATCACTGACCCAGAGCTGCTCAAAGCCATTCTGTTGGTGGCTGAGCACTGTAAGAGCAACGCCCTGGTGGACATTCTACACCCTGAGGCTGACAGCAGCATCAAATCTGGGGTCTTCAAATCACCTTGGGCTGGCATAGACACTTCACAGAGTCACCGTGATTACCTGAGATTAATACTAATACCTGGGGCCACTGTGCTCTCCTGGGGTCTTAACCATCACCTGGGGTCATGTGGGTACACCATGATGCCCCAGGTGACCCATGAACCCCTTGTGTCTCCCCAGACAAGAAGCCAGATGTGATGTATGTCCGGACCCCACAGCAGCTCTAGGGGGTCCCAGTTGACTGCAGGTGGACTCAGGTGCCCCCTGTTGATC